GCAGCCATTGCGCTAACTCAGGCCTTAGGGGCTTGTGAGCTTGGACGGGCAGGTCGCAGGTTCGATCCCCACCGTCGAGCCCGGCGCAGGGGGGCGGGGTTACGCCTAGCTGAGTTGCCACAGGACTCCAGCTCCCTGTGCTGGAGGCTGCCAAACGCAGGGACGGGTCCTGGGCCCTTGGTTGTCGTGACCCCGCGAGCTCCGGGACCCAGGAGGCTGCGTAGCTCCCTGGCCGGCAGACGCCTGAGCCCAGGTTCCTCGTGGAGGACGCTCCGTCGCCTCCTTTCCTCTCGGAGCCGCCCACTCCGTCCAGCTCAGCTGCCCCGGCCACTGGTACCTTTGCCTCTGACAGGAAACCAGCTGCAGCTTGGTACAAACGCGGCTGTCCTGGCCCCCGTACAGGAGCCGGAGCCAGTTCCCAGGAGACTCCTCTGGAGCCCGACGCCGTGGGGATGGGCCCGTGAGCGAGACGGGCAAAGGAAGTGGCGAACGCTTGGGGTGATGGATCCCAGGGCTGGCTGTCGGCTACACTAACACCGTGTGGCTCCTTGTCACCCTCTAGTGGCTGGACCGTGTCGGTGAGTCTGCTCCCACTGCCAGGCCGGGGCGGGGGGGGGGCCGTCCGGAGCTAGGTCACTCAGCGTCCAGGTCTGGTGTCTCTGCGCTCACTGGAGATGTGTCATTGCCCAGGCATGTCAGCCACTTCCTCTTGGAACTCCCCAGCCCCTCCCCTGCGTGCTGTCTGCGGTGCCAGCTGAGTCACCAGCCCCCATCCCTTCCGCCCCCCGTTATCAGCACTGGCTGGCTGTGGCCAGCCCTGCACAGACCCCCCACGCAGCCCGAGCTGCTTCCCTTGTTCCCAGTCCCCGCCCCAGCTCCAGCCCTGGTGACTCATTCTGCAGCTGCCCCTCTCGGCTCTCGCCGCCCGTGCCGAACGGCGCGGCATGCCCCTGCCCATCAGCGCTGGCAGGCCTTTCGGGGCAGAAATGCAGCCCCCACCCCCGAGATCGAGAAAGCGAGGCCTCCCACACCCAAAGCACACGTGATACCCACAGAGCGGAAAACTCTCCTGCGAATGTCCAGGGCCATGTGACGCCAAGGGGGTCACCAGTCCCCAGACCAGCAGCTTGTACCCACAAGAATACCCCTGCTGTGGTCCCCCAGCTCTAAGCACTACCCCGCACTACCCAGCTCCAGCAGCGGTAGACAGCAGGCTTGGCCGTTGCTGGGAGCAGCCCCCGGGGGAGCTGGAGGGTTATATTCAGCCAATAACGCACGTCTCACTGATTCTAAGCTACGGGGCTGCTCAGAATCTGTCTCTCCTGGGACCTTTCCCAGACTGGCTGAGTTCGGTATGGCAAAGGCATTTAGGGAGGCAGGGGGACACCTCGCAGGATCGGGCCCTGCATCTGCAATGTGCAGCCCTAGTGGCTGCAGAAGGGGAAGCTACGGCCGAGCGGCCCCCTCCTCCTAGTGCTGCACCTTAGGGCCTGATCCTGAGCTCACTGGACTCCATGGGGGTAAGGGAGCAGGCTCCGGCTCCTATATGTCCCCTTCCCTCTCCCGCTTTGTCCTGTCTTGACGTTATTGTCTCAGCTCCATCTAGTGGAGAGGAGAGGAGAGGAGAGGAGGAAGGACTCCTGCACTCTCCTCTGCGCTCTGACAGGAGAAGTGGCCATGGGGACTAGGAGTGAGAATGCCTGGGTTCTATTCCCGGCCGGGGGGTCAGGACACCTGGGTTCTTTTCCTGGTGCTGGGAGGGCAGTGGGGTTTAGTGGCTTGGGCTGGGGGGTCAGGACACCTGGGTTCTTGTCTTGGATTTGGGAGGGCAGTGAGTCAGGAGTTGTGGGGTCTACTCGTGGCTCGGCTGTGTGACCTTGGGTGAGGCGCCGTGCCTCAGTTTCCCCAGCTGTTGAATGGGAGGCTGCCCTTGGGCCAGCTTTGAGCTCTGTGCAGAGCATGGCTTCTGGACTCGGACTCTGGCCTGACGTGATGATCTGCAGTCCTGGGGCTCATTCTGTGACTCCCACCTGCCATCACAAGAGGTGCCCAGCCTCAGACCCACCTCGCTCGGAGCCTGCGTAAGGGGCTGTGTGAGCAGCGGCAGGGCTGTTAGCTGGGCACCTGGGCAGCCCCTACTGACCCCACTTGGGTCCCTCCCCAGCCTGATCCCATCTGCCTGGCTCAGATTCTGCACTGGGCCCCGGGCCCTAGGGCTGAGGGCCACGTGCTGCCTCTGTCCTGCCAGGGAGAGAACAGTCGTGGAGCCAGGGGTGAGCGGGCACCATTTTCACACCTTCGCACGAGCAGTGTCTTGTGCGAGGAGGGACCCCAGACTTTGCCCCCGCCTTGGCTGGCCCTGCTGGCTTGGTCCCTCAATGCCACCTAGGGTGGAGGCTGCTTGGGTGGGCTCTCTCGGGAAGTGGCCCAGTCCCTTGCACGCACGCCCATCTGAGCACCGTCCGTTCCAGCCAGACGCTGTGTCACAGTGCCACCTGGTGGGCCCAGAGCTGCCAGGCGAGTAGCAGGAACAAACCCACTTCTCTGCTCCCAGCCAGTTCTCCCACCTGCCTGGCACCTTCTCCCCACCGGTGCCAAGCGGGCGTTCAGGGGCTGGACAGGGCCTCTGATATCCGGAGATGCTGATCCTTGCAGCTGCCTCCTGGCGGGGCTGGGGAGAGCTTTGCTTTTGTTCCCGCGTTGCTCTGGGGGAATCTAGTGCAGATTCCAAAGGCTCCCGGTTCGCACACAAGGATGGGAGCTAGGACACTTGGGTTTACAGTCTGTTGGTGAGTCACTGCCCTGCTCCGTGCCTCAGTTTCCCCCGACCCGGGGGAGGGGATAATTATTTGTTGTCTTACCATAGCATCTAGAAGCCCCAGTCCTGGCTCAGGGCCCCCTCATGGTAGGTGCTGAACAAACACAGCACAAAGACCTTCCAATCGAAGAGACGCCGGCTAAAGACAGCGGGGGCTGCTCTGACCCAGCTCTCTGGGAGGACCCAAAGGGGTCCCACTCTTCCTCCGGGGCTCACGGCCTGCTAACTGAGCTCCTGGCCTCCAGCCCCCCTGCGTCACCCCGTGAGCTCTGCCCTGCGAGGCCAACTGAGCCAGACGCCTGCTCAGAGACCAGTCCACTCCTCAGGGACTAATGCAGCCCAGCAGTGACATCGGAGCAGCAGCTTGAAAACAGAGGATTTATGAGTCAGCTGGAACGCAGCTTGGGAAGCGCTGAGGTCAGCACCGAGAGATGAAGGTTAAAGCATGATCCGTTCTGCTCAGCCCAGCGTCATGCGCCAGCCACGCTGCAGTGACTCCAATTCCAGGCCCTGTCTCTCTCGGACTTCCTCCGTCAGACCCAGGCTCTTCCCGAAACCCCCACGTCAGTCTCGGTCTCAGTTCTTCGGGCTCGAGCTGCTGTCTGTGCTCAGCCGAGTGTGGATTCACGCGTCCCTGGCGCTTGCATGGTCTCGCTGGATCCGTTGTTGAGCTGGGTCGGTCTCAACCAGTCCCTTATCGACTTTATTCCTTCCACCCAGGCAGGGAGGCGACACCCCCCGCCCCCGCCATGTCACTTACTCTGCCCTGAGAGCAAATGTAATCCTGGGTAGCCATGCAAAGTAGAGAGGGAAACTGAGGCACACACCAGATTCAGAAAAACGTTACCAGGAATTCCCACTTCACAGGGGCGCACAAGGAAATGGAGACAGGACTGGTCAGCAGTGGGCTGAGCAGAGCGTCTTCGGGCTGTACGGAGAGCTGTCCCCCAGCTGGTCCCCAAGGGAAGGCTGAAGCAGTCGGCTAGTGGGTTCCAGGGCAGTGGGCAGCATCAGGGTCATATCGCAGTCCCTGGATTCTATCAGTGCTACAGGGGCACCTGGCTCCTTTTACTTCCTGACACCAGCATTCGAAAGGGAGAACTTGACGAGCGAAATGCCGCTTGTCCGCAGGCTGCACGGGCCAGCGCAAAGATTATACGTGACTCCAGGGAACTTGGCAGGGCGCTGAAAGAGAGGAACGGCCAAGGGATCTCGGAGATCCTTCCTGTCCCGCGTGGGAGTGAATTGGGTAAGTGGTGTAGAGCAGAGGGCTCTGTGCTTGGAGGAACCCTGGTCTGTCCTCTATGGGGAGAGGGGCCTGTCTAGGGCGGCTGGCCCCATCTCCGTAGCCGGGGGCCCAAACTCCCCTCAGTTTGCTCTGGTGGGCATTACGGAACCCTGGTGGGAAGACGCGTGTTGTTGGCATGGTAAAACCCCTGGTTAGGACCTGGTTAGGAGGGATCGAGTGGGCAAAGGGGGAGGGGAGGGGCACTCGGTGTCACAAATGGCACGGCCTGCGTCCGAGTCACTGACAACTCAGAAGCAAACGATCTTGCATGCTCATGGAGCAGTGGCCTACCAGACACAGAACAGGGTAAGGCCCTAGCTGGCGTCTGCTACAGACCCCCACATCCCACTAGAGAATGACCAGCTCCGGACACTCCTAGGGCCCTACCAAATTCACGGCCGTGAAATCTGGTCTCCTCGGTGAAAGCTGGTCCTTTGTGTACTTTTACCCCATACTAGTATACAAAAGTACTCAGTGTTTCTCAAACTGGGGGGTCCCGACCCAAAAGGGGGTCTTAGGGCGGTTCGGCCGGGGCTCGTCCCCCTCCAGGGCGGCGGAGAGCCAGACCGCCTGGCTACTTCGGTTAGGGTTGTTGGGAAACTAGCCTGGCTGTGCGGCAAACCGTCGGCAGCTCAGGCCCTCAGGCAGGGGCTGAGCAAACAGTTGAACAGCAAACCCCAGGCTCCTGGCTCCAAGCGGCCTGGGAGAGGGGGAGATGGCCAGCTGCGAGGTGGGTGGCAGGGGGGACACAGGCCCTCCCACCCCACTGCGTCCCAGCCCGGGGCCCTAGCAGCGGCAGAAGACCCGCTGCTGTGTCAGTGGGGATCCTGGCCACAACACGCTGACATGGGCTCTGGCAGTGCTGCAGCCAGACTCGGCTCGGCTGCCCCCGGGCTACTTCCCACACTCCCCCTCTGGAAGTGCCTGGGTCCGGACGGCGTCCTCCACAGGGTCACACACCATGGACTCCTCGGGATAACTGGCGCGCGGTTGGGCTGGCGGCTCCTCGGGGTAACTGGCGCGCGGCTGGGCTGGCGGCTCCTCGGGGTAACTGGCGCGCGGTTGGTCTGGCGGCTCCTCGGGGTAACTGGCGCGCGGTTGGCTTGGCGGCTCCTCGGGGTAACTGGCGGGCGGCTGGGCTGGCGGCTCCTCGGGGTAACTGGCGGGCGGTTGGGCTGGCGG